TACATTTGGTTTATCGATGCGGAGTAATGCTAAGACCCCATTCCAAGTGCAAATGAGTCACAGTCACAATCCCAAGAGGTTTTGCAGTCATCGCGTGTCTTCTGTCACCCTGACCTTTGCTCATGACAGCAAGTTTGCATCACCCAGGCTGCAGCCAATTTGCCTGACAACGGCATGTTTCACGTCATCCGCCCCTCAACTCTTTTCCAAGATGTGACTGCAATGTCATCTGGGTTCAATGGGTTAACAGATGCTAGTTTGATCTATAAGTTTTTGAAGTGAAAACATAGTACAATATGTATTCTAAAAATAAGATACAGTACAATCAATCCATGTCAACATAATGTTTTTGTTTACAGTGAGAGGACAATGTTAGGAAAACTTCCTCAACACTGGGCAAATGACCCACATGTTTACTCCCTGGATGACCTTCTGGCAATCAAAGGAGGGCAGCTGGTGGCAGAGATAAAGGATGTGACGTCAGTTTGCATTAGTCACATTGCTAAGTGTCAGGTAAGTGTAGAAATTGGGTTCTGCCCCCTTCCATTCTAGGGTGAAGGGCTTGGTTGCCCCCCCCCCCCCCATTTCCTATGCCTTTGTCATTATAATGATTATTGCCATGATTATGATAATAATGATCATGTTATCATAATTATTATTAGTAGTAGGCACATCATTTTTCTATTGTATTTGTATTGTCATTATACCAGTGCACAGTAAAGAACCTATCCCTGGGGCCAGCCAGCTATTTAGGAACTCTGCAGTAAATTGGTCCATTTGCTTCCCAACAGGTCTGTTTAGGGAGAGGCTTCATTTGTGAAATTTGTGGACGTGGAGAGGCTATATTCCCATTCCAGTTGGACTCGACAGCGCTCTGTGAATGCTGCAATGCCTGCTTCCACAATGGTTGCTTCTCGCCAGGACGATGCCCGAGATGCATCAGGAGGGAATCAAGAAGATCGTCTCGGGAAGTTATTGAGAAGCAGGACTCAGTGGAATCGTCTTCAAGCAAAGAGTCATGAATTCTGTAGATAAGGCATGTTCAGCGTCATGTTCTGGAGTCCATATGATTTATGGAGATGATCAGTATCTCAATTATTGTGATATTTATGCATACTTTGACCTAGTATGTGCACCAAAGAATATACCTTCTGATACCTATATCTGTTTCATGAAATCAGCCTAAATGCACTCTGTGTTTGTGTGTGTGTGTATGAGTGCATGAGCAACTGTGTGACTGTATGATTGTGTGTGTGTGTATGTGTGTGTGTGTGTTGTGTGTGTGTGTGTGTGTGTGTGTGTGTGTGTGTGTGTGTGTGTGTGTGTGTGTGTGTGTGTGTGTGTGTGTGTGTGTGTGTGTGTGTGTGTGTGTGTGTGTGTGTGTGTGTGTGTGTGTGTGTGTGTGTGTGTGTGTGTGTGTGTGTGTGTGTGTGTGTGTGCGTGCGCGCGCGCAGGCACGTGTGCACATGAGTAAATGAGTGAGTGAGTGAGTGGGTGCATTCATGTGTTTGTGCATGTGCACGTAAAGAATACATATAGATATATAGTAAATAATTTAATTCACACACAAAAATAAACACACACACACACACACACACACACACACACACACACACACACACACACACACACACACACACACACACACACACACACACACACACACACACACACACACACACACACACACACACACACACACACACACACACACACACAAATAAACACACACACCACACACCACACAAATAAACACACAAACAAACACACAACAAATAAACACACAAACACACACATGCACATGCACACACACACGCACATGCACACACACACGCACATGCACACACACGGGCACACACACACACACACAGAGTGTATGAGTGTGTGGAATGGGGTATTTTCAAAGAAACTGTTAATGTTTATTGCATTTTTCTTTATTGTTAAAGGAAATCAAGTGAGGTTTCTTATTGTTTTTCAGCATATTTTGAGACATGTTCTCTCATATAAAGTCTCTAATTACCTTGAATGTCCGTAGCACTGTGAGGTAAAATGTTATGAGTGGACTATTCATCAGAAATATACTGCCTCAGAGTGCTTTATGCCATTCACTGGAATTTTATTAGTGCTATTTCTTCCACACATACTTAGACACACATTTACATACTTTTAAACAGACTGGCTGACAGATGCACAGATAGATAGATAGACAGATAGAGACAGAAATGTGTACGCATGTACATACTTACATACATGCAAATGTACAATAATGGACAAAAATGACAACTGCTGCCAGACGCATGATAATGACACATACAAGTTTTCAAGTGTTGTAACAGCCTACATTCCTTTTACCTTGAAAATACATTTTCATGGGTTATGCATGTATTGCTACACAAAATAAGTAAATAGAAATTGATAGTTATCATACTTGGTTTGGCAGTTAAGAGTGAGGGTTGTTACTTTTGTCTGTCATAGTACCTAACTACTAATCTAACATCATACACAAGCATACAGCGAGTTGTAGTTTATTGCTTCAATTATTACAGGCACAGCAATAACTCTTCATGTCTCAATTAAGAATCTGTAGTCATGCAGTTAGGCAGCTGTCATAGGAAGAATAGAGCATTAGGGTGAGATTCATGATAAAATGTGGAAGCAGCTGCATGGTCACAATATTTTTTTATTTTATTTTATTTTACTATTATTATCATGTTTTTATTATTGTTTTATGCAGCCTTGTAATAACTCTAATGATCCCTGAGTCCTGAGCAGTTAATAGTTTTGAAAAGGCAGCTACATTGGCTTCTCATCAAATATTTGGGAGATGATGGTAAAGCTACTAAAATGTTTGATAAATTAGGCTTTTAACTTCATGGCAGTTTTTTGTGCATCTTATGAATAATGTTAGCTATAGTTATGTGTTTTTTACTGATAAATTGCTATGCTTTCTATAGCTTTTGATTATCAGTTGCATTTCAATTTGTAAGCAAATAATATAATGATAATTATGATCATACTAGAATATTTGCTTAGATTTGCACAATTGATATACAGTATATTATTTGCATTATTGATTGTTTAAGCAAAAAAACACATTAATACCATGATAGTGTGTATCTTTTATATAAAGTACATAATTGTGTCACAATCCCTATATGGCTACTGTCATTTAGAGTCATATAGTATTCAGTTTCACCACCACCAAAATTCTTATCATACACAGTATACATAGCTTGTACATCTCAGGTCCTTTGGAATGAGGATTCAAAATCACGTATTATATAATTCATCAAATTCAAAATAAGATTCCTTGTGTCTTGTGTTAGAATATGAAGAAAATATCACAAGAGCAAAAACAAATGCAATTGCCATGAGAAAAAGATTTGTTTACCTTCAGCCTTTCTAGAGGGTAATGTAACTCCACTTTCATGTGTGTGTGGCCAGTTTACCGGTTGTGTGGAATTATATAAGATCTTTTATTGTGGCAGTACCCACTGTACATAGGAATGGCTATTTTAGCAGTAAATTAATTATTTTTTGGTATAATTGTATTGCCATGACTGTACCCAGAAAGAATGCATTTGCAATAGCAGTTTATTTTATTTATTTTCATATCTGTCAGAGATATAATATGGACATCTTAATCTTAATATAATGTGTAAGAGATTAAACAAGATTGAAAGTGTCAGTAGAGTGAGTGTGTGTGTGTGCAATTATAATTGTATATGTGTGTGTATTTTTTGTTAGTTCGTATGTATTGATAATGGCATGCAGATGTGCCGAAATTAACTATTACTCTCTCATGACCTCATATATTACTCTATTTGTCTCAGCTGTTCACTATGAAACTACATTAATCCCTTAATATGATGTAATTGCTGTTGGCAAATGTTTGTCCTCAAATGGTGTGTTAATATTTTTTCTTTATCTTAAAAACTTTATTTGTCCAAGAAGGCCTACAGATCTTAGTTTGGGAAATATGATAGTGCCAATCCTTTTTCTCAACTTTCTCCCTCCCCCCTGCCCCTCCTCTTCCCTTCCCCTTTCCCTTCTTTCCTCTCTCTCTTCTCTCTTCTCTCTCTCTCTCTCTCTCTTCTCTCTTCTCTCTCTCTCTCTCTCTCTCTCTCTCTCTCTCTCTCTTCTCTCTCTCTCTCTCTCTTTCTCTCTCTCTCTCTCTCTTCTCTCTCCCTCCCTCCTTCCCTCCCTCTCTCCCCTCTCCCTCCCTCTCCCTCTTCCCTCTCCCTCTCCCTCTTCCCTCTCCCTCTCCCTCTCTCTCTCTCTCTCTCTCTCTCTCTCTAATGCCTCTCTCTCGCCCTGAGATACTGTCCACCCGCCTCCTCGGCCCTCTCCCCTACCCTCTCGTGTGTCTCGCTTCCGGGAATCTTCAGCTCCTTTGTAACATGGATGAGCAGATATTTTGTTTATACTGTAACAGACATATTACATTAGTCCTAACACCCAATAACACAACCTTAAACAAAACAACAAAAACAACACCTTCTAGATGTCTATGATACAAAAATGTATGTTTTCTGGTATTTACAGTCTATTTGCCTTGTGCAGAAGTGCGGCGAATACTTCATTCTTTTTTTCATTTTACATTCGGAGGTTTTCCTACACACCTAGAATAAAAAGATGCATAATGCAGTAACACTTCTATTTTCGAATGCTGTCCTTGCAGTTTCCAAAGCAGCAGTGTGGCCGGTACCTCTTGGCAGAGATCGGAGTTTATTATTATCTTTTAAATCTTTAAAACCTTGATGTTAACAAGTCCTGTATAGCTACTTTCAAAGTGGTTATAGAAATTTTTTTCTTAGTTGATTTTCTGTAGCATTCAAGCGAGTTTCAATAAATGTGTTAGTGTTTGAGAAGTGCCATTATCTGTGTGAGTTAGATAGTGTAAACTTATTGAGAAACTTTCAGTTCTATTATTCTCTTTAGATAAGACGAGAATTCTCTCTCATTTTTTACATCTCCTTTCAGTATTCAGCCCAAAGCAGCTGGTCGCTTCTCAGAAATGTCATCACCTTAATTGCAGCTTAAGGAAGAAACGACTAGTGCTCAGACGGAGGCAAAAATGAAATTTAATTTTAACAATTTCTTATTTCTTTTGCGTTAAAATCCATTTTGATAATTCTTATATTATTTAGACATTAATATTTATGGTTGATTCCTCAGTTTAGTTTTCTAATTCCAAAATATTGCAGAAGGCAAGGACACATAAATAAAGAAGAATATATATATATATAATTAAATAAAGAAGAATACGCGAAGATCTGAGTCGCACGGACTGAGAGAGGACGGAGAAATCTGATGAGAGAGAGAGAGCGAGAGACAGCGCCTTGACGAGAGAGCTGAACCGGAAATCCTCTTGGCCGTGCAAGGTGAAGAGGAATGAGTCAGGATGAGAGAGACGAGAGACGAGAGAGAGAGATGAGATGACGAGATCGAGAATATATAGGCTAGGGAGGCGGCAAGCGGAAGAGAGAGGTGAGAGTTACTAGAGAGAGTTATAGACGACGAGAGTTTATAGAGAGAGAGGTTTATATTTATATATTAAGAGAGGGAGAAGAGAGAGGAGAGAGCAGAAGAGAACGGAGAGAAGTAACGACATGATGAGAGAGACGAGAGAGAAGAGAGAGAGAGAAGAGATGAGAGAGACCGGAGGAGGCGAGAGAAGCGAGAGAGAGAGAGGAGAAATGCGAGAGCGACGGAGAGAGAGATGGAGGGAGGAGAGAGAGAGAGAGAGAGAGAGAGAGACGATAGGCGAGAGAGGAGAGAGAGAGAGACAGAGAGAGATAGAGAGGAGAGAGAGAGGAGAGAGAGGTTCGTTAAATTAAAGGAATATGTTTGCCTCCACCTTCCCCCAGATCAAGGTCGCGGCAGCAAAGGCAAGCGAGCCCGGCTGACGACCCTTCACTTTGGCGAGGAACGTAATGAAGAGATAAGTTTGCGAATCGCGGTCAAAGAGGAGTGACTGATTGGCATGAAAGGAAGGAAAAGTTGAAATATGAAATGCATTCATTTATCGATTTTCTCTGTATATATTTACCTGTTCGTGTGTCTATTCATTATTACATAAACAATATCATATGGAGATTAGCCAAGAATGGCCTCCATTGTGGAAAAATGGCGCACGACAAAATTTCCCTGATATCTGGGTTTCTGGATTATTTTGTGCTTCTGGAACATGATCATTACTCTCTCATTGAACAGCGAAAGCTCAGAAAGGAGCTCTTATCACCACGGTTTCGTTTCAATCCGAGATGCACGTACGCTCCCTTTGGTTTAGATTC